ATTGTTAAAATTCCTCTGCTACCCCCAGAACCTGTAATCCCTGTAGCTGTTAGGACAATACTGGAACTGCCCAGTAAATATTTCCACTGTTTCCACTGGTTGTCTAATAACCTGGGACTCTGTGTAGTATGTCACGTAGTCCTTGAGGCCCTAAAACCAATCAGTTTGAATGTCTACCCCACTTAGAAGTGACCAATCACTCCTGCCCAGACTATTCCCACCAATGAATGTACTAATCATGTCTCAGAGTTGTTGTTCAATTTTCCCACTCCTCATGATGATTTTTTCTGATGTATGCAAAGCCCCCCTCCCTCCCCAAAAAGTGTACTTAAGCTCTGCTTGACCTCTGCTCTAGGCTCTGGGCTGTTTTCCTTTCCTGAGTGAGCCTAGAGCCTCAGCGCGCTGAATTAGGATCCTCTTCAATAAAACCCCTACTGCCAATTGCATGAAGACAGTCTCTTGTGGTCTCTTCCTCCGACGCTTCGCCAGACCCTTACAAAACACTTTGTACCATAATATAGTTTCCCAAGCAGAACTCCCAGATATCAGCCCAGGTTAGCCTTGATATAAATTAAATTACCTTTATTCTTAATTATTAATCTGTCTCTTATGGGGATGAATTTAAAAAAAAAAAAAAACAACAAGGAATGATAACAGGATGGTGACACAGGACTTTGTAGCCTCTGTGGGGCCCTGACTCAGAGCCCCACAAGGTAGCTTTTTTTTTTTTTTTTTAAAGAGAGAGAGAGAGAGAGAGAGAGAGAGAGAGAGAGAGAATTTTAATATTTATTTTTTAGTTTCCAGCAGACATAGCATCTTTGTTTGTATGTGGTGCTGAGGATTGAACCCGGGCCGCATGCATGCCAGGCGAGCGCATTACCGCTTGAGCCACATCCCCAGCCCCTTTTTTTTCTTTTTAATCCATTTGCCAAGCTTGGGTACCTCTTGGGTGAACTGATAGCACTTGGCTTCCTCAAGTGGAGGCCAATACCCAGAACCCTAGCACAGATGACTAACTGCAAGGTGCAGTCATCAGGGGTTGAGGGCCACCTAAGATCAACATGGGATCAGGATGCTCAATGCTATTGTCCTACGAAGAGGTAGGGGCAGCTCAAGAAAGAATTCCCAAGGCCCTCCTCAACATACAGACCAGGTGTGTCACTGTGGTCACACAAAGAATGATAAGATGTTRGGAGGGAAAGCATTAGCAAAGGGAGACTGGAAGCATAAGCAAGTYCCCCTTCCTCCATYACACAACACTGCCTGCCTGTTCTGTGATCCCCACCATGCTTGTTCATTCAACAAACATTTGGTGAACACCTCATGTGGGATCCATTAAGACATGGTCCCTGCCTTCCAAAGAGTGACATCTGTTGATTCTACCTTAGTAACCTTGTCTCCTCCCTTCCCACTGAAGCTGCCTCCAATCCCTCACTGGTTCTTGCATAGTCTCCCTCAAAAACCTTCTAATATACTTCACTCCCCCCAAATAGCATGGCATAACTCTTAAGTGTTTCCAAATCACAGCTGAATCAGGTCAGTCTTTTGCTCAGCATTCCTCAGCTCCCCTTTATCAATAAAATCCAAACCCCTCAGTTGGACCCCAGCCCACTACTCCACTTCTCACACCCTGCCCTCCAGCCAACAGGATGACCTGGTGTTTATACATCCATGTATACTTGCATCCTACTTTGGTCAAGTCTCCTCCATTTAGTATGCCCTTCTTCCTACTTTTAAAAGGCCATTTCAAAGGTCACCTCTCAAGGGCAGGGCCAGGAGGAACTGAGGGAAGTAGCATAATGGGTCCCTAAATACAGTTACATAGGAGAAATAAGTTCTGTGTTCTACGGCCCGGTGGGGTGACTGTTTTTCACAATAATTTACCTGTTTTATAAAGAACTAGAACCAAAGAAACAATGGTGGAAGAGACAGAAATGCTAATTACCCTGTTTGATCATTACACATTATCTACACTGTATTCTCCCCCAATGTCCCTAATTGTCCTGAATTCCTATAGCCTTTTTGCCTCGTGTGACATATTCTCAACCTTGTATTAGCCTCCCTTAACAGTATTAAGCTCAAAAGCAAGACTTGATTTATTCTTTTCTCCCCTTTTAAAATACTGCAGATGGTACTCAGGAGTGCACAAATGCCAAGGCTGAATGAATGTCTGGCTGAGGAAAGGGCTGTGCACAGGAAAAAAACACACCTGATTTTAACACAGCATGAACTCAACTAGGGCTCTGATGTTTTGTTCACCAATGTGACCTAAGTATTTAAAACTGCCTAGATAACAGGTGCCATACATATACACACACACTGTCTCTCTCTAATTTAAGAAATGGATAAGGAAGCATCCCCAGAAGGGGCTAATGTACAAACAGTAAAGACCAAATGGTGTTATAGTTCACAAAGGACATCAAGAAGGGAGAAAGCAGGGCTTACTCAACAAGATGGGAAGCCCAATGTGGCAGTAGCATACTGAGGGGAAGGGGAAGAACCACAGGGTGGGAAGGCTGTGGAAGCTGTGGGTTCTATACTAAAACACCTGCTCTTTATCAGTAGCTGGTGAATGCCACTCCAGGGTTCTGAGGAAAGTCCATGTCCAGCTGTGCTTCAGAACAATAACTAGTAGCAGGAACATGTGAGGAGCAACCAGTTTGGTCACCAAGTAGCTCAGGTGAGGACCATTAGGACCTTAATTGTGGGAACAGGAAGGAGGATTAGTTAGGGATGCATGGCATTTGTCACCATCTTTCCAGGTCAGTGTTCCCTAAGCTTCAGATAATCCATTTCCTGTTTTCCTTCTCAGTTCCTCCCTAAGCAGGCTTTCATTGCAGGACAGTTGAAGCAGGCAAGAGGTTAATTTGTTGTCACTTAGGACAGTGCCTAGTGCACTGTCACCTGGAGATCTTACTCAGGTCTGCATTTCCACCAAGCTCCTAGGGGAGCCAGTACTGCTGGTGTGGAGCCCACAGTTCTGGTAACAGGGCCTTAGAATCCAGTGGACATTGCATGGCACTGCACCTGGTCAAGTGTGTGGGCTCTGAAGCAAGATGGTCTGGACAGCCATCCCCACTGTCACATTACCTCACTCCTCTGGTCTCCTCCCGCATCTCCTAAGTAAAACAGGGTGAAATCATCCCACTCCGGGTTGTATGAGAACTAGTTTTTATAAAATGAATTTACAAGAGTACCTCACACACAAGTGCATAATAAATGTTACAGGGGCCCCAACCCAACTGTTTGACACAATTATGTCCTTGCCTCAAGGGAGACCTGACTTTGCTTCTACTTTGCTTTTTCCCATTTCCAGGTAGGAGGCTGGCCAATTAAACCACTTAATAACTGGAAGGTAAGGACAGTCAATGATGGGACAGAGTGGCTATCTATAATGTAAAGTTTTCTAACAGCTGCCTTGTACTCCCTTGGCACCCACCAAACTTCACCTACCCATCTACCACCTCCCAAAAACCAACACCCAGATGGTCTCGAGGTCTCCACCACTTCATATGGGGTCCCTGGCTATTCTCATCCATACCCTCTTCTTGTTTGTCTAGATTTAAGTAAAAATGCAGGTTAACTGTGCCTTCAGTGCTGTCATTGCTCTAGGTGAGGCATCTCTGCACCCTTATGAAGCCAGAATTAGACAGGCAGTCAGCATAGACAGGTAAATTGAGTCAGGGAGGATCAAGTAGGCCAATTTTGAGTGAATCCGGTAAATTGGAGACTGTCCCCTTAGGGATTGAAATGTTAATTCCTTCAGAGCCCTTCCTCTACCCTTACCAAGAACCTCTCACTGCTCCAACCAGTTGCCAAGGTAACCTGYCCCAGGAATTGCCTCTCCCTACAGGGAGCTTTAAGGCTGTTAATGGGTCCTTAGCTGCACCATTCAGCTCTTCCCCCCTTCAGCCCACCTGTTTCCCACCTTTTGGCCATCCCCCTGAGCATTCTTGGGCCTAGTCACATACCAAGGAGAAAGGGAAAGAAGGCAGGAGAACAAAGGAAGCCTAGGACAAACAAAAAGGGCAGAACACCTAGCTTCTTGGGATACCAGGAAACCAGCTATGGCCCCCTTCTCGGGTAGGGGGGGAGGGGAGTCTTTTACCCCTTTTTAAATAAACCCTTCTTTATATGCTTGCCTCTTGCGTGCTTCTCTAATGTTCAAACTTCAACATTTGAGTGAAACAGCGGTATCACTTGGCCCCAGGAAAGTGTTTCAACAAACGGACAAAAATATCAGATGTGTGTGTTTTTGTTTTTTTTATTCTAGGCAACTGTAAACCATCCAAGGGGACATTCACATATGACCCAGGAGCCCACTGCCATCCCTGTAAACAACAGTGGGGCAGGTCATCCGTCAACACTCCTGAGACAAGCATCTGTGTGCTTTCTGCCAATCTCTGGGACAGAAGTGTAATTTGAACAACCTCAAGTAACGACTGGTGTAATAGGTACAAACTAAATAACCACTGGCACAAGCTGAACACTTCGAGAAACAGACTAGTCTTCCACTGGGAGGCTGCACAAACACAGCAGGGTTGGGGCTCAGAGGGAGAGGGGTATGGTAAAACACCAGCACTCCCAGGACCAGAACCCTACTGGCCACTCCTTCACAGGAATCCGGCAGGGGGCTTCAGAGGCTAATTTTCCTCTTGGTCCTTCTGAGACAATTAGCCCCATTTAAGAGGGTCAAGCACACCCACAAGAGGGAGCCCAGCACTGTGTCCCCTTTGTTCTCTGCCTTAAGTGTGGCCAGGCTAAAACAGCCCCATAAACTATCCCCTCTTAGAGGGTAGGCGGAGTCCCCACGTTAGGAACAACTTCTACAACTCCTGAAATTAAAAACAAAAACAAAAACAAAACCAACTGTTGGGCTGTATATAATTTTTAAACTAGAATCTAACTAGAATCTAACTCCAAAAAAGGATCTTCAGAGCAGGATAAGCAGTTCATTTAAATTATTTCTTCTCTGTTATTAACAAAGAGACTACAAAAAAAAAGAGGAAGTGGAGAGTCACTCTTCCCAAAACTCCTCCTGTACCTGCTTGCCTGTAGCCCATGGGAAGACTTGCAATGCTGGGATTGGCCCTGGAACTGACCACCAATCCCTGTGGGGTCACCATGCCAACCCCAGCCCCCAAGTATCAGATGGATGGGAGAACCAGACTAGACTGGGCCAAAGAGACAGCACTCTCAGTGGCAGGGTCAAGATGATAAGAGAGGCTGGGCCCTAGATTCCTCCTCTTCCACAGGATTTTCAGGGCAGCCTTTGGGTTCGGTCTGGCACTTGGTCAAGGGAAGGCAAATCAGAAGCAAGGGCCCTCAGGAAGAAATTAGTCCCTGATAGCGCACAGTGTCTTTTCCGGGGGGACCAATGCCACCCCCCTCCGCCCCCGGACGGTGAGGGGTTGGCACCCTTAAAGAAGGCCATTGGGCCTTCCGGGGTCCAGGGTCAGTCCACCCCGCTCCCGCTGGTGGATCTTCTGGTGCTGTAGGAGGTGCTGCTTCTGGACAAAGCTCTTCTCACACTCGGGGCAGCTGTAGGGCCGCTCACCCGTGTGGATGCGCTGGTGCCGCACTAGGTCAGATGGGTGGCTGAAGCTCTTACCACAGTACCCACAGATGAGGGAACTCCGGCTTTTCCTCCAAGGGATGTGGCCAGGCAGGGCAACCAGGCTGTTGGGTGAGAACCTCTCCTGGACACGTGGGCTAGCACTAGGCCCCTCCTGAAGATGGCAGCGCTGATGGGTGATGAGGTTCACCTTGCAGCTGAAGCTCCTCTGGCACACTTCACACTGATGCAGCTTTGCCTTCTTTGCCTGTGGCTTCAGCCGTGGCCTGGGCCTAAGGCTCTCCTCTGACTCTGTGGTGGGGAAAGACTCCCACCCTGAGTGGCTCTGCAGATGTGTGGCCAGTTGTTGCTTGTAGCGGAAACTGATCTCACACTCAGAACATTCATAGGAACTGGCAGTGTCCTTTTTTAGCTTCAGGTTCTGCCCACATTCCTGACCCAGCTGGACCTGCCTGTGGGATTTCTGCTTTGTGGAGCAGCCCAGAATTCTGCCACTGGTAGGGTCTGTACTCCCCTCAATGGGATCCTCGAGATTAGAGTCCCCAGGGCCTGTCTCCAGAAGAACAGACCCACTCTGGCCATCCCAGAGCTCAAAATGCTCTGAGCGGAGAAGAGCCTGCTCTTCAGTAGCACCTGAGAACGTGCCAGGGGGGCCCACAGAGCCCTCCTGCTTGTACAGCACCTCCTGCTTGACCACAGCCCCGTCCACTGCAAAGAAAGAACAATAAAAAGATCACATTCTAGCACCTTTGGCCTCTTCAGAGCCAAACAAGTATCTGAGAATTTCAGAAGGGCTCAAATCAAAGTCCCATGGGAACAAATGAATTAGGACAATCTGGAAAAAGATGTAACTAAGTTCCAAGAATTATTAAAAACTAAATCTATATTTCTGTATAGACAGGTAACTGGAAATCTGAATACATTATTCTCAAAAAAACAATGTTATAAAAGGTAGCTCTCCAAACTTGTTTGCAAACTATTTAATCCCTGTGAAAAATGACAAAATACACTTCAACAAATATATTAATTTAGGAGAGTGTTGGAATAATAAATTTGAATAATTAAAGAAAAATACACTAGAGCTATAGCTTAAAAGGTGTGTCCAACTCTCTCTTTTCTGCATATTCTGCCCAAACATCCTACATTTCCTTGCCTCCTGATGCTCTGGCCCGCCTCTCTCCATCATGTTCTGATGATCTATTACATCCTCTATTCTGTAGAGCATTAAGAAATGTGGTATGTAGTCTTAAGGATCCACAGACTGGTAGGAGTAGACAGACATATGACTGGCAAAATGGTAGTCATAAAGGTATCTGGAACTAGCATATGCCAGATGAGGTTAATGATAGTCATCGTTTGGCAGTTCAACAGTGGGAGAGCTCCCCATGAGCTGCAGAGACCTGCTTCAAGGGAGAGGGGGACAGGAGAAAATATTCTACAGCCACTCACCAGTGTGGGCAGCATCAGGGCCTTCCTCCTCCAAGTCACCCAGCATTTCTGTACCCAAGTCTGCTTCTCCCTCTGGCTGGCCAAGGACCTCTAGGTTGGAAATGGCACAGTATGAGCCCAGAAGAGAGTAAAAGCTCACACAATGGTTAGCTGCTGATGAACACAGTTACTACTGGCAAGAAGCAAATATTAAAACTTCAAAAGACTCAAAGACTACTATTATTGTCACTCTCCCAAGTGCTCTGGGAAAATTAGACAATTCTGGCCATTGCTATGCATTGATTCAGCTAGCTGCTGCCATTACTGCTCCTCTATAAGGGCCGCCGGTCTCAGGCACCAGGCTGCAAAGCCCCTGCAGTACACCCAGCAGACTACCACCACCCCACACGCATGGCTGAAGACTTGCCAAAGCCCCTTTCAGGGCATCTAATTTCATCCTTGCTGAGGGACTGCCAGGTGACAGACAAGGAGACAGTTCTGAAGAAAGCACATGACCCAGCTAAGGTCACATGGTCACTTCTCAGGCCCATTGCCTACTTCCCTCTTCACTCACTCTGGTCCAGCCACACTGGTCATCCATTTCTCGGTGGGCCTACATTTTAAAGAGTTTGTTTACCAAACAAAATCTATTAGTTATGTAATAGGGAGTATGTGAGTTAAAATTTATATACATTAAGCAGCACTTCTAATCTACATGAAATATACATTTAGACCACAATGACTGACTAGCACTCCAGCCAAACTCCAAGAAAAAGGGTTTGGTCAATTTGTGCTACATCCCTCATCCCAGGTAATATAAGACTTCTAATCAAATAGTTTTAACTATTAAAAGCAACATGAGAAACCCCAGCAATACTACCATGCATCAGTAAATCTTCTCAAGAAGTGGCTGTGTAACTGCAGAGAAGAAATACTAGAAGGCAAACCTCTGAGACTTTTCCTAAGGTTTTGTAAGTGAGAGGACCTAGAGACTCCCACTTTTCCTGACACAGGCCAACAGGGGATCCCAAGTCAATCTGAGACACAGGTGTAGTCAGAGGCACAAGCCACTGGCCACAGTGTATGAGAGAATTCCAGGGGAAAACTGGAATCCTAGTACTGCTACTCACTCAGAGAGACCAGTGTTTCATAGTTGCTCTCCATGACGTTCCTGTAGAGCTCCTTCTGCCAGTCCTCCAGGTTCTCCCACTCCTGCTCAGAGAAACAGACGCCATCATTCTCAAGTGACCTGGACACCTAAAACCAAAAACGACACACAATGAGCACCTTGGAGTCATGAAGGCCAAGCCAACAATTCAAAATCATGGCCAATAGAAGCTGGGCTCCCCTTCTTGCCTAACTTAGTGCTCTGTGGTTCTACCTTAGGGGCCTCCCCCTTGCTGCCAGGGGGCAGCCGCAGGACCCAGGAGCTCCTGTTGCGCAGCAGGTTCTCCACGTTCTCCAGCCGCCGCTGTAGCAGCCCGTACTCCTGCAGCAGGGTCCCCAGCACGGCCCACTTGCCCTCCAACTGGTTGCCCAACTCCACGGCCGTCTTCTCATAGTCTGCCAACTTCTTTTCTGCTGTCCCAGTGCGTCCCTCTAGGCTCTGTAGCCGGGCAGCCTGGGACTCCATCTTCTTCTCCACAGACTGGATAGCAGCCACCACTGTCCAGAGTGAGATCTCTGTGGTCTGAAAATATGAGCTTTTTTCTGTTGCTTGTGAAGGAGGTGTCGAAGTTGTTAAAGGGGCAGAGCGCCGCTTTCGTCTATGCTGAAGGATCAATCAAAAAAGATACAGGGTCAGTCAGACAATGGTATTCCGAATATCAAGTAAAGAAAGCAATGTCAAAGTGCAAAAGAACTCAGAGCTACCTTATTTCTTTCTTCTTCTTTTTCTTTCCCTCTTACTTTATCTTGTTACTGGATCGAACCAGGGGCACTTTACCAATGAGCTACATTCCCAGTCCTTTTTGAGACATTGTCTCACTAAGTTGCTGAAGATGGCCTCAAATTTGTTATCCTTCTACCTCAGCCTCCGAAGCTGCTGGGATTAAAGGCCCATATTTGGCTTTTTTTAAAAGTATGCACTTTTTAATTCTGATATTGAAAATGTGTATATTGTAATAACTTTGGAGAATACTGTAGAAAAGTTATATAAACTGTCTGAACTTATGTAGATTATATATATGAGCTTTTTTCTTTTCTTTTTCAGTGAAATCAAAATCATATTGCACATATTTTGCTGCCTGCATTTCACACTTAGCATATTTTATGAGACTTTCCTGTACTGGAGTTCATTTTTTAAACAGTTTCTTCCTACTTTATGTTTTGAACTATATAATAAATGATGTCATTTATATCCACTTTGCCTCCACATTCCTACCTGACATCAATAGTTGATCAAGTCACTGCTGCTGCAAACCTTTCAATGGCTCCCCATGATAAGAGAAAATTCCTTAGCAGGACCTGCAAGACCCAACTCATTCCTTATTTATCCTAATAGTTGATATAGTGAATAACACAAATAAATCCTTAAAAAAACATTTGCTGAAATGACTTGACTAAGCCTGCTGACATTTTCCTTATAATTCTCATTTTTATGGTCTTATAATTCTCATTTTTTGACTGAAGCTCAAAAGTTCTAAAACCAACACTAGGGAAATCTTTCTGAAGCTGCTTTCTCACACACTGTCCTACTCCATTTTCATTTCAGTCCTAAACCCCCAAAGCTTGCTCCTCTTTCATGTGGCACTTTATTTAAGGCTGCTTATCTAACCCATTTTGGGGGAAATGAGACCAAGAGGAAATCTCTGAAAGAACTGCTGGGGGAAGGGGTCACAATCTGGCCTCAAACTGTGGACAAAATGAAACTGACTGGCATAGAACTGAACATTTAAGTTTGATCAAGACCTATTTTAGCTATTCATCATAGAACACACAAACGCTTACATATTCCCCTAAAAAGACTTAATTCAATATAAATTATAAATTCATGTGAAACCAAACATTAAGTTGGAAAAATTAACCTCATCACATTTGTTTTGCTTTTGTAAGTCTCTGTGTCACTGGCTTTTTGGAGGCTCATCTTTCCTCCCCGGGGCCACTAAGTGCTTAGTGCTTGCTAAGCACTTCTTCCAGACAGGGTGGTAGGTCAGGGTCTAAGAAGAAGAATGAACCCTTCCTCTTCCGCATAATAATAAAGAGTTTCTTCTGGGGCTGGGGATATTGCTCAGGCGGTAGAGCACTCACTTGGCATGCATGCGGCCTGGGTTCGATCCTCAGCACCACATACAAGTGGTCATGTTGTGTCCGCCGAAAACTAGAAAATGAGTATTGAAGTTCTCTCTCTCAGAGTTTCTTCTTTTCTTCCATTTTGAATTATCTAGCATAACTGAAAAATTCAAATGTCCATCACCTGACCCATGGATAAACAAACTGTGGTCCACCCATCCATGTTATGGGCTGAACTGTCTGGTCAAAAAAAAGCTGGAGAGCTGGGGTTGGAGCTCTATGGTGGAATGCTTGCTTCCCATGTGGGAGGTACTGAGTTCATTCCTCAACACCACATAAAATAAAAGTATTGTGTCCATCTACAACTAAAAATAATTTTAAAAAAATTAAAAAGATGCTGTAACCTGAACATCAGAATTTGACCTTGTTTGATAAAAGGGTTTTTCTGGAGGTAATCAAGTTATGATTATATTATGGTGGGACTTATCCAAAGGACCAGTGTCCTTATAAATCAGGGGAAATCTGGACAGAGACACAGAAACGGACAATGATATGAAGATACACACAGGAAGATGACCTGGAAGAGATGTCTGGGGTCACCAGAAACTAGGAGAGGGGTATAGACCTCATAAGGAGTCAGTCCTACGACACTTTGATTTCAGAAGTGTAGCCTCCAGAACGGAGATCACACACTTCTGTTGTGTAAGGCAGTCTGTGATTCATGACTTTGTTATCACAGCCCTAGGAAATTAACATGCCACACAGTAGACTAGTCCTCAGCAATTGAAGAGAACAAACTACTGACCTAATATTACTACATGCAAAGTCCAAGAAGCAAGACACAAAAGGCTCTATACTGTATTCCATTTAGATGCCATGTAGGAAAAGGCAAAACTATTGGGACAGAAAGATCAGTGGTTGTCAGGGGCCAGGAGTGGGAGGAGATTGATTATAAGCAATATGAGGGAAATTTCTGGGATGATAGAAATATTTTATATTTTAGTAATCTGATGTCTAAACATTTATCAAAACCCATTGAAGTATATGCACAGAGTGAATTTTACTATATCTCAATAAACAGGATTTAAAATGTCCATGTAGAAGAAAATGTTAGCTGTCATAAAAGTAAACAAAAACAAAATCTAAAAACAGAGAAAATATTGTGAAGAGAATATGAAATAGAGAGATCAAAGCATCTAAAAATAAAACTGCAGACTATAAAGCATTTATGAAAGTAGAAATGTAGGCAATCAATTAAATGACAAGACAACAGCTTTAGCAGTTAATGTGAATACAATCAAATGCAACCATTTTTCACCCATCAGATGACAAACATGGAAAAAGAATATAACATTTAGAGCTGATCATGATACAATCAACTGATACTTCCATGACCCTCCTGGAAGTCATGGAAAATACTACAAACCACCTTGTGAAGGAGACCTCAGGAAAATCTTTAAAAATCCTTGCCAGGACCACATGTAATCTAAGCGGCTTGAGAGGCTGAGGCAGGAGGATTGCGAGTTCAAAGCCAGCCTCAGACACACAGTGAGGCACTAAGCAACTCAATGAGACCATGTCTCTAAAATAAAAATACAAAATAGGGATGAGGATGTGGCTCAGTGGTTGAATGCCACCAAGTTCAATTCCCAGTACCAAAAAAAAAAAAAAAAAAACTTTACCTGGCAATCCCACTTAGGGAACATAGCTTACAAAAATAAGCAGTACTTGATGACATACCCATGAAGATAACTAATTATTGGTTAAGATACTTTGGAACAGTCAAAACCTGGAAATAACTTAGATGTTTGTTAAAATAATGGTAAAATAAATTATGGCATAACCCAAGATGGTTTTACATAACCATTAAAGAAATGAGTTAGACGTGTATGTATGGTTTAGAGAAAACACAGCGAGGGCTGGGCATGGTAGTGCATGCCTCTAATCCTAGCAGCTTGGGAATTAGCAAAAGACCCTGTCTCAAAATAAAAAATAAAAAAGATATAGGTCAGTGGTTAAGCACCCTTGAGTTCAATCCCGGGTGTTAACAACAACAAAGAAAACATTGATAAGGTTAAAAGTCCAAATTTTAGGAAAATATATGTATTATCATCTCATTTTCCTATAGAAGAGAAAACATTTATGTAAGCTTGTTTCATCACACAGAAAGGTTTGAAAAGATATTCAACATGCAGTTAACAAACGGGGTTGCACCTTCATGAGGTTGAGAGAAATGGATTTTACTCTTTCATTAAAAAAGTTATTGCTAATTTGATTTTTTTTTTTTTTTGATACCAGGGATTGAAGCCAGGGATGCTTCCCCACTGAGCCACAGGCCTACCTTTTTTGTATTTTATTTAGAGRCAGGATCTCACTGAGTTGCTTAGTGCCTTGTTTTTGCTAAGGCAAGATCCTCCTCCCACAGCCTCCTGAGCTGCTGAGACTACAGGCATGCACCAACCATGCCTAGCTCATTTGACTTTTTAATAAGCATGTATTCTTTTGTAATTTTTTTCTTAAATTCAATTATGTAAGAGTATTTCTGAAGACAATGAAAATACAAAGGTACACTATGCTGACYATGCTTCTGAAGTTCCTGGCACAATCTTGCCTTTGAATAACATATTGTCAGATCATGAGTCAAACAACTGACATGTTGCTATGGTCCAAAACGTTACCATTAAGTACAAGATAGAGTCCCAACTGTTAAGAAAACAACAGTTAGCTTGAGTTAATGCAAAGCAAATAACATTCTAAAGTGATACTTAAGTTGAACTAGATGGTATCTACAATCTTTCCCAACTAAGAGATACTATTACCTTTTAATATCAAATAGTTTAAAATTGAACACATAAAATGTATAAAATAGTGACAACAGCCAGGTGCAGTGGCACACAACTGTAATCCCAGTGACCTGGGAGACTAGGGAGGAGGATCAGAAGTTCCAGGCCAGCCTCTGCAACTTAGTAAGACCCTGTCGCATAATAAAATTAAAACAGAGAGCTGGGCATGCTTGTCGACAGACAAGATTAATATTGTTAAAATGGCAATGTTATCAAAAGCAATAAATAGATTCAACACAATCCATATAAAAGTACCAATGATATTCTTCACAGAACTAATAAAACAGTCTTAAAATTAATTTGGAAGATTAAGAGACCCAGAATAGCCAAAGCAATTGTAAGCCACAAAAGCAAGGCAGAAGGCATAACGATATCTGACTTCAAATTACACCACAGAGCTATAGTAACAAAAACTGCATGCTACTGGCATAAAACCAGACTCACAGATCAATGGTACAGAGTACAGGAGACATAGACGAATCCACATATCTGCAGTCACCTTATCCTTGACAAAGGTACCAAAAACATAACTGGAGAAAAGACATCCTGTTTAACAAATGGTGCTGGGAAAGTTGGTTATCCATATGTAAAAGAATGAAACTAGATTCCTATCTTTCACCCTGAACAAAAATCAACTCAAAAATGGATCAAAAATCTTGGAATCAGACCAGAAACTATGCAACTCCTACAAGAAAAC